AGAAGTGAAGTCTATCGAAGACAACAACACTTGGTTACTTGTCGAATTGCCTCAAGGCAAGAAGGAAATTAATGTCAAGTGGGTATACAAAGTGAAGATGAATCCCAAAGTGGAAGTAACTCGACACAAAGCATGGCTTGTGGCGAAAGGATTTCTACAGAAAGAAGGAATAGACTTCGATGAAGTTTCTGCACCTATTGCTAGGATCGAAACGATCAGGTTAGTTATTGGTCTAGCAGAAATAAACAAATGGCACATATGTTAGATGTACATAAAGTGTGCATTCCTGAATTGACCCTTAGACGAAGAAGTTTATGTTAAATAACCAGTTGGGTTTGTGAAACATGACGAAGAGAGAAAGGTGTACAGGTTGCATAAAGCCCTATATGGATTGAAATAAGCTCCAAGAGCTTGGAATAAGAAAATTGATAGTTTCCTAAGGGAGAAGGAATTTGTGAAGTGCAAAGCTGAACATGGAGTATATGTAAGAATAAGAGATAGTGAATTGCTTATACTATGTCTATGTGTCGATGACTTGTTGATAACATATAGCTACAAAAGTGAGATTGAAGACTTCAAAGGTGATCTCAGCAAGGAATTCAAAATGTCTGATCTGGGTGAGATTTCATATTTCTTTAGCATCAAATTCTCCAAGAGCAGTATAGGTTTGATGATGCGTCAAAGAAGATATGCAGGAGAAATTCTCAAGATATTTGAAATGGAAGAATGCAACTCAACTTTGACACCTGCAGAACCAAGACTGCAATTATCGAAAGATGCAGATGAAGATGATGTCAACCCAACCCAATATAGAAGACTTATTGGGTCATTGAGATACCTTTGTCATAAAAGGCCTAACTTAGCATATAGTGTAGGTATGGTAAGTAGATTCATGCAGAAGCCAAAGGTATCACATCTAGCAGCGATGAAGAGGATACTAATGTATCTCAAAGGAGCTCTTGACTATGACATTTTGTTTCCTGCAGCTTATAAAGGAAAATAATGCAAGCTAGTGGGATACACTGATTCGAGTTGGTGTAGGGATACCGAAGATAAAAAATTAACATCAGGATATGTTTTATGTTAGGTGGTGCACTAGTTGCTTGGAGTTTAAGAAAGGAACTAGTAGTGGCATTATCATCATGCGAAGAAGAATACGTAGCTGCTTCTCTTTGTGCATGTCAAGGAACTTGGATGGTGAACTAGGTCGAAGAGATAATAGGGAAAGATCATGGAGCAATTACCATGAAGATCGACAGCATGTCAACTATCAATCTGGAAAAGAACCTGATAGAACATGGTTGAAGAAAGCACATCGAAATGAGGTTCCACTATCTTCGAGAGCAGGTAGCAGATGGGAAGATGAATTTGGAACACTGCAAAATTGAGAATCAGATTGCAGACATCATGACGAAGGGAGTGCAAGTCGAAGTATTCAGAAAACTAAGAACCATGATGAATATAGATAGTTTAGACACAATGAATTAGGTGGTATGTTAAATTGTAATTTGATTGTGTCAAAACATTGTGTGTGTCGAAGGGAGGTTCCTCAGTCGAAGAGCTTGTGGATCGAAGCAAGCTACACGCATATTTGATTTGTTTTAGATTTAGATAAAATTGATTTAGATCTAAAATAGATAGATTTGATTTAGTACCAAAATAGATATTTTGGGCTTATATAGTTTTGGGCTTTGGCTTAGGGAGCAAGCTAACCTAAATCTATAAATAGAGGGAGTAACCCCTAATTTTGTAATTAAGTCAATTCATCGTAATCACAGAATATGCTGTTGCAAGTGATTAATAAAGTTTTCCTCAGTTTATGGGCAGAGAGAAACTCTGCAGAAATAATTGTTTTATTTCCTTTCTTTTCTTTTCTCATAATTCATTGTTATTGTATGGTGACATCAATATTGTTCATCAAGATTAGTAGAAATTCATCATAGATATTTGGTGGATTTCCAACATATTCAACTACACTTCACTTACAGTGCATTATATTTCTATTTTGAATATCTACTTGTATCTGATGTTCAACCATTTTTAATGGGAGTCCAATCAACTATATTTCACTTATACTTACAGTGCATTGTATTTCTATTTTGAATGAGTTTTCATTCAACTTCAATTACACTTACAATACACTATATTTCATATGCATTTATATTTTGAATTAGTTGTTTTGAATGAGTTTTCATTCAACTTCAATTACAATTACATTACACTATATTTCATATGCAACCACCATATCAAAATGCAGGGTTATCTTTTGCCTATATGTAATTCATTATGATTTTTTTATATGTCATGCTTTAAATTATTGTTTAAGAGAAAAAAAAAAATTTCTTCCTTGGGAGATTGTTCTTTGGAGTTAAATGAAAGGGGTCAAAATGAAAATGGAAAATACAAAACATATCAATAATATCATCTCAAACTGTAGAAAAATCACTCATTTTTTAATTTATAAATATTTGTAGTTACTAGCATATTTAAAAATTATTTGTAGTTATTAGTTATATTCGATTTTTCATCTTGGCGATATGCTACATATTTTAAAATAGTAGTGATTTTATAATAATAATTATATATTAACAACAATCAAGAGTTATTTAATTATCTTAGATTGGAATAAAGCTCCACAAATTTGAGACTCTACTTTTTCCACAAATACGAGATCCCTGATATTGTAATATCTTGGTTATTGAATTCATTATTATAACATGTTTCATATATTTTTTAAGTCACAATAATTTATTGAACTCATATATTTTTTGAAATTATAAATTTATTATTGGATTCTAAGAAAACAATGAGAGTGATATTTGTGATTTTTACTAACTCCTATGAATTTTTTCACTTAACTCACTATTTTAGTATCTGACTCACCAATCATCTGAGTGCAACCTTTCTTTATTCACATCCAGATACAATAAACACTTAACTAGTAAATCCCTTGACATTTATTATAACTTGAATGGTTGCATCCAAATGTCTTTTTCATAGGTTGTGCTTGTCTGGTCTGGTCTGGCTTTATCTTTGGCGTTGGTTATTTTTAATGTGGATTATTCTGGTGTGATAACTTTAATCAATAATCATTATTTATTATGGAGTATAAACTCTGACATAGTTTTTTGTTGCAATAACTTGCGTTTTTCCATTGTGCATAGTTTTGGAGGGCCTGAGGAATGTAACACAAGTTGTCTTGAGCTCGTCAACTGGTTTGGAAGCTTATCACATGAATTTCTGACAGTACTTTCTCCCTAGCTATAAATTGCTAAAAAATCCAAGTTTCAATCATGTTACATTTAGACTTAACAACATTTTATACAATTCGATACTTCTGAAAACTGGTTTTTCAACTTAATTTTTTCTTTCTTCTTTTGTCCAGTGACTAAAGTTGCACCAAAAAAGTTGGGTTGATTTGGAGGTTAAGACCTATATATATATATATATATATATATATATATATATATATATATATATATATATATATATATATATATTTTCTCTTCATAATAAAAATAAGAAATACACTTTTAAACTGGTATCCAGAGTCAGGTCTTAAACCCTTTTTTTTAATTATGTTTTCCTCTCTTGAGTGTGCAAATAGTATTTGTCAAATCTGCCACCGTCTCCAAACAAGTCATGCAGCCTCCAGCGGTGTTCGGAAGTCACTGATCTACTACCCACATAAGTTGTGTCGTCAACAGGCCCCTCACACGTTGTCACACACCACAAGCAGCATAGCCCATGCGCTCACACGGGAAGTACTCGCCGGCACGTGTAATCCACGTGCCACCCTACGTCCGCCTGTTTCGGTGGCGCCTATTGCAACTGTCTCGGTTTTTCATTCCGATTCCAGTATGACCAATTTCAATTTGTGGGTTTCTCGTTTAAGGTGCGTTTTGGCTGGTTCTTTGCCTCCGACATATTGGTGTGTTGTTATTCTTAATTTTCTCCTTGATACAACCTATCGATTGTGTGTTCTTTCTACAATCCAGAGTTATTTATTTATTGGTGTTGAAATCATGACTGAAATTGTTAAGGAGAACCCTCCAAAAAAGGGTCTTATTTCGTTTGTAGTTCAAGGAACACCCGTTATTACCACAACTAAATTAAATGGTAATAAGTATTTGAATTGGTATGATTCAGTTTATTTATGGTTTTTAGGACAACGTCTATCAGATCATCTTACTAAAAAGATTTCAGAAATTGATAAAGATATAAAAGATGATTTGGAAGTCGTTCATTATCAAATTGTATCATTGTTATGGAATTCTATTGAACCAAATATGAGGGCACACTTTCGTTTCTATAGGTCATGTTATGAGGTTTGGGAGAAGGCTAAAAACCCGTATGCCAATGATATTCAAAGAATGTACGCCTGCAACTTGGCTACTCTTCAGATGAATGATCAAAACTTATAAGAGTATCTCATTCGTGCCCAATGTACTATTGATGGCCTTAAACTTATGTTGGTTAATGATGATATTATGAAGGTACTTGGCAAGATTGACAATATTTTCATGGTGTTTGTTCTTCATGTCCTATTTAAAGAATATAGCTCACTAAAAGACCAGGCGTTAATAAATACTACCATCTCTACAATAGAAGACCTAATAGATCGTCTTGTCCGAGTATTTGTACCAAGTGATGACACTCATTCTACTCTCGAGTCATCTATTTTTGTTTCCAACTTTAATAATGGAGGATTGTGAGGACATGGATGTGGTGGATGTGGCCGTGGTTGAGGATGTGGTAGAGGAGGTAGAGCCAACTTCTATTGCACGCATTATGGAAAAGAAGGGCACACTCAAGATCGGTGCTTTGACTTACATGGCTACCCAAACTAAACTGCTAATGTTGCTTAAATCACTGTAAACCATGAATCAAATGGTGAAGTAAAAATTACTTTCTCTGCATACGAGTATAAGGAATATTTGCAATTGAAGGCAGCACAACAAGCCACTTCCTCGGCCACTATTTCTCATAATGGTAATTCTATGGTTTGTCTTTCTCATGGAAGTCCTATTGGATTGGTTATGGATTATGTTACTTCAAACAATGTAACATGTAAGGCCTCACTTTTCTTTATCACCATGTAAATATCCCTATTATATTACTGTTGTTGATGGATCTAAAGTTGAGGCAACTGGTGTTGGACGAGTATCACCCAACCCCTCAGTCTCCTTGAGTTATGTTTTATCGATTCCTAATTTTCCGTTCAATTTGAATTTTCAAATTAACAAGCTCCTAAAACTGTGTCATTACATTTACTTCTAATTCCTTTTTGATACAGGATCGGAGTACAGGACAAACTATTGAAGTCGAAATTGAATCCAGTGGTCTTTACTATCTTCAACCATCCACTTCGACTATATGTGCTACTACCAAATCTCCTGATATTTTGCATCGCCTCTTAAGTCATCCTAGTTTCTCAAAATTAAAGAAAATGGTGTCCAGTCTTTCTCATTTAGATTCCATACAATGTGAGTCTTGTCAGTTAGGAAAACATGTTAGAGTTTCTTTTTCCAATCGCATTAATAACAGAACTTTGTCTCTTTTTGACATTCATTCTGATGTGGGGGTCCTATTCAGATTCCTTCTATCCTAGGGTATCAGTATTATGGTTGCTCTGGTTTGAAGTTTCCAGTTCTTTTTAGTGCTAACATTATTAGTTTTTACCTTTCTTGCATTAAACATATGTTTAATCAAGCAAGATGGTGAGTTTTGCAATCTTATATTTACTCAAGATGCATAAATCTGACCACTGAGCTGCCGTTAAAGCAGTGGAAAGTGGTAGCAGGCTTAGTGGTGTAATTAGGATGATCAAGGAGACAATGTATCCTAAAAAAGAAATCTATAAGTTTACATAAAAGAAAAAAAATTTGTCTCGTAAGTTTCATACGAGTTAGCATATCTGTTTTTCTTTTAATTTTCTTGGTTTTTTACTTTTCCGAATCTTTTAAGTAATTTATTATGTTCATTTTCTCTTGGACAGGGTTATCGGGATACATTTGACGTAAAGCTGGTTTTATTGATCGTTATATATAACCATTGCATATCTGCAGATACAAACATGTATTGGACCATGTCTACCATGGCAGAATCAATCAAGTGGACAATTTATGTTTCAAAAGGTGACAGAGTTGAAGTTGTTCCCAAAGGTACTCAACATGGTTAGATTTGTAATATAATACTAGTGGAAATGTTCATTGTGAGAATGACAAATGAGTTTAGAGTGGTTCTTAGCCGTGCATATGTTTTCTGCTACAAGTTACAGAAAATGGTTTGCAAATGACTATTTTCATTCATGGGAAATCGTTTTTTTACCATTTGGCGTGCTCTCCCAAATCGTTTATTATTGGATTCTAAAGAAACAATGAGAGTGATAGTTGTAATTTTTACTAACACCTGTGAATTTTTTAACTTAACTAACTATTTTAGTATCTGACTCACCAATCATCTCAGTGTAACCTTTCTTTATTCACATCCAAATACAATAAACACTTAACTAGGAAATCTCTTGACTTTTATTATAACTTGAAAGGTTGAATCCAAATGACTTTTCCATAGGTTGTGCTTGTCTGGTTTGGTCTGGCTTTATCTTTGGCTTTAGTTATTTTTCATGTGGATTATTCTGGTGTGCTAACTTAAATCAATAATCATTATTTATTATGGTGTATAAACTCTGACATAGTTTTTTGTTGCAATAACTTGCATTTTTCCATTGTGCATAGTTTTGGAGGGCCCGAGGAATGTAACATCAGTTGTCTTGAGCTCGTCAACTGGTTTGGAAGGTGATCACATGAATTTATGATATATATATATATATATATATATATATATATATATATATATATATATATATATATATATATATATATATATATATATATATATATATATATATATATATATATATATATATATATATATATATATATATATATATATATATATATATATATATATATATATATATATATATATATATATATATATATATATATATATGTGTGTGTGTGTGTGTGTGTGCGTGTGTATTTTCTCTTCATAATAAAAATAAGAAATACAGTTTCAACATGGTATCTAGAGCTAGGTCTTAAACCTTTTTTTTAAATATTTGTTTCCTCTCTTGAGTGTGCAAGCAGTATTGGTCAAATATGTTGCCGTTTCCAAACAAGTCTCACAGCCTCCAGCGGTGGTTGGAAGTTACCGATCTACCACCCACCAAAGTTGTGCCGTCAACAGGCCCCTCACGCGTCATCCTGCACCACAAGCAGCATCGTTCATGCGCCCCCACGTGTAGTACTCGCCGGTGCGTGTAATCCACGTGCCACCCTATGTCCGCTTGTTTCCGACGGCCCATGTTGCAACTGGCTCATTTTTTTTTTCTGATTCTAGTGGGACCACTTTTAGTTTGTGGGTCTCTCGTTTAAGGTGTGTTTTGGCTGGTTCTTTTCCTCCGACATATTGATGTGTTGTTATTCTCAATTTTTCCCCGCGACACAGCCTATCGACTATGTGATCTTTCTACAATCTAGAGTTATTTATTTATTGGTGTTGAAATTGTGACTGAAATTGTTAAGGAGAGTCCCCCAAAAAAGGGTCTTATTTCGTTTGTGTTTCAAGGAACACCTGTTATTACCACGACTAAATTAAATGGTAATAAGTATTTGAATTGGTATGCTTCAGTTAAGTTATGGTTTTTAGGACAACGTCTATTAAATCATCTTACTAAAAAGGTTTCAGAAATTGATAAAAACATATAAGATGATTGGAAAGCCGCTAATTATAAACTTGTATTATTGTTGTGGAATTATATTGAACCAAATATGAAGACACGCTTTCGTGCATATAGGTCATGTTATGAGGTTTGGCAGAAGGCTAAAAACCTTTACGCCAACGATATTCAAAGAATGTATGCATCATCCCGCAACTTGGCTACTCTTCAGATGAATGATCAAGACTTATCAGAGTATCTCACCCATGCCCAGTCTACTATTGATGGCTTCAAACTTATGTTGGTTAGTGAAGATATTACGAAGGTACCAGGGAAGCTTGACAATATGTTCATGGTGTTTGTTCTTCATGGCCTCTTAAAATAATATAGCTCGCTAAAAGACCAGGCATTAACAAATACTACCATCCCTATAATAGAAGAGCTAATAGATTGTCTTGTCCGAGCATCTGTACCAAGTGATGACACTCATTCTACTCCCGAGTTATCTTTATTTGTTTCCAACTTTAATAATGGAGGATCTTGAGAACATAGATGTGGTGAACATGGTTGTGGTCGAGGACGTGGTAGAGGATGTAGAGCCAACTTCTATTGCACGCATTGTAGGAAAGAAGGTCACACTGAACATTGGTGCTTTGACTTACACGACTACCCAAACAAAATCGCCAATGTTGCCTAAATCACTTCAAACTATGAATCAAAGGGTGAAGAAGAAACTACTTTCTCTGCAGATGATTATAAGGAATATTTGCAATTGAAGGTAGCACAACAAGCCACCTCCTCGGCTACTATTAATCATAATGGTAATTCTATGGTTTTTCTTTCTCATGCTTGTCATATTTGATGGGTTATGCATTCTGGTGCTTCAAACCATGTAACCGGTAATGCCTCACTTTTCCCTAAATTATCACACCTAAATATCCACATTATATTACTATTGCAGATGGATCTAAAGTTGAGGCAACTAGTGTTAGAAGAGTATCACCTAACCCCTCACTCTCCTTGAGTTATGTTTTGTTAATTCCTAGTTGTCCTTTCAATTTGACATCTATAAGAAAATTAACCAGCTCTTTAAACTATGTCATAACATTTACTTCTGATTCCTTTTTGATACAAGATCAAAGTACGGGACAAACTGTTGGAGTCAGAATTGAATCCAGTGGTCTTTACTATCTTTAACCATCCACTTCCTCTATATGTGCTACTAACGAATCTCCTAATTTTTTGCATCGCTGTTTAGGTCATCCATGTTTCTATAAATTAAAGAAAATGGTGTTCGGTCTTTCTTATTTAGAGTCCTTACAATGTGAGTCTTGCAAGTTAAGAAAACATTTTAGAGTTTCATTTTCTAGTCGCATTAATAACAGAGCTTTGTCTCTTTTTGACGTTCATTCTGATGTGTGAGGTCCTAGTCGGAATCCTTCTATCCTAGGGTATCAGTATTATGGTTGCTCTAGTTTGAAGTTGCCAATTCTTTTCCATGCTAACATTTTTAGTTTTTACCTTTCTTGCATTAAACAAATTTCTAATCGAGCAAGATGGTCATTTTTGCAATCTTATAATTTACTCAAGATGCATAAATCTGCCCACCGAGCTGCCGTTAAAGCAATGGAAAATGATAGCAGTCTCAATGGTTTAATTAGTTTGATCGAGGAGACAATGTATCACGAAAAATAAACCTGGAAGTTTCCATAAAAGAAACAAATGTTTTCTTGTAAGTTTCATACGAGTTAGCATCTCTATTGCTCTTTTAAATTTCTTGGTTTTTCCTTTTCCGAATCTTTCAAGTAATTTATTATGTTCATTTTCTCTTGGACAGGGTTATCGGGATACAATTGATGTAGAGCTAGTTTTATATATATATATATATATATATATATATATATATATATATATATATATATATATATATATATATATATATATATATATATATATATATATATATATATATATATATAACCATTGCATATCTGCAGATGCAAACATGTGTTGGACCATGTCTACCATGACAGAATCAAGCAAGTGAATAATTTATGTTTCAGAAGGTGACAGTGTTGAAGTTGGTCCCAAAGTTACTCAACATGGTTAGATATGTAATATAATACTAGTATAAATGGTGATTATGAGAATTACATATGAGTTTAGAGTGGTTCTTAGTCGTGCATAGGTTTTCTGCTACAAGTTATAGAAAATGGTTTGGAAATAACTATTTTCATTCATGGACAATCATTTCTTTACCATGTTACATAATGTATTTATAACAACGAGCTATTAAGTCTCTTGTACCATTTGGGGTGCTCCCCCACCACTTGGAAAATTCATAAACGTCCCTAGCGTCTGGAGATGCATTTTCGAAAGCACCTTTTATACACGCATTTTAGCATTTCATAAGTGAGACACTCTTATTTTGTCTAAAAGATATGTCCAATTCCGTAAAGTGTACCACCATTTAAAAATCTGCAGCAATTTTGGAAGACTACTGAGAGACTTGCTAGTGTGATAAAAACCATCACAAACAATAAACCTAAATTCTTATTTATTTTTCTGCAAGTTGTACCTTGCTATGAAAATTGAAAACTTTTAATCTTAGGTTATTGAATGGATACACTACATAGACATATTGCTACCCACCACCGTAAACCATGAAGGCACGTCACAAACAGAGAGTGTGGAAACGACAAAATGAGAAATTAAAAAAAAAGTCATGTAGATATTTGGCTTGAAGAGGTTCAACTGACTTTCTAGAATTGACTCAAAGGAAATATTGTTGGATTCAATTATTCGGTCGATCAATGGATAGTTAACCCGATGGAGTGCCTTGGAGGATGTAGCATGGTATACGAATTAACTAAAAATATTTAGATCGGAAGCATGGGGATTTAGAATTTAATTATGCAGCGTCCAGGAATTTTTGAATTCAAATTTTACATCTTCTAGATCAACAAGAATTAGTTTGAGAATATAGAGTCTGATAGAAGTCTTTCATATGTGTGCAGCACACATGACACTATCATGGAGGGACTCCAGTCATGGTAAATATGCTTCCAACAATTTCAGAGCATTGAAGCCTAGCATAGCAGATGGAATCCTAACAAAATTTTATGATATGACAAGGTTTGAATTCCATATTGAATAATTTCTACTATTATTGTATGTTTATAAATTATTGAAGCATTCCATTGATCAGCCAAGTTCAAGAGATTCAAAATTTGAATTAGTTATCTCTTATTGATACTATTGACTTTGGCCTTTTGATTTGCATCATTATTAATTATTTTTAGTATAGATTGACTAATTTTTTATGATTCTTTTTTGTATTGTTTATTTTATGATGTTTGAAATCCATATTTAAGTTTATTTTACATAACTTTCTTTCCTTCTTATTGAGACTATGTTATCGAAATTAAAAATGATAGAGACCTCGTCTTTATCAAGTCTGCACAAGTTATGTATTGATATGTGTTTTTTACAGAGATATTAAAAATTCTCTTTGCAAAATATTTATCATTGGTGATATCTTTATACATTAAGTTCGGTGATATGAACAATAAAAATCTCCTTGTAAACGAATGGTAATGCAGTTATACTCTATAGGGAACAAGGATAACTCGTATCATGTGTGTATATCAAGCAATATTTGCATTAAAAAGTTAACAGATTTAATGATGATGCATGTCTTGGTACAAGTATGAGATTAAAAGAAAAACTAGGATTATGTAAAGATGTTATAGCAAATGTTGGTAGCAAACATATGAGTTACAAAATGCTTTGGGTTACCGGCACCAAATTAGGAGTCAGGGGGTTAAGATTAGGCATATGCGGTGGGTAAGGTTTTTTTTTGTATTTTTAAATGTTTTAGTATTATTTTAAACAATATTTGTAATATTATGGGATGTTTTTTTAATTAATGTATTACTTTATTCTATAATGTGCATGTTTATTAATGTTTGAATCAAATTATGTTATCGTTAGTCAGATTAAAATGACTTTGACTTAAAAAAAATACAAACTTAGGACAATGTTTCTGTCAAAGATGCATGCAGAGAAGTTTTTGGAGAAACATATCTAAAATATTATTATTTAATATAACTTAAGATGCACTCATGTGTGTTTTAAAAGATGTGTCTCCAAAACACCGAATGGCAATTTCAGATTTTAACAGTGTGAAGTACAAGTGAGAAAAGAAATTTCTTAATTTTAAACCATCTTAAAACTCATAAATAACAATTATTTTTTAAACTGATCTAACACTTATGCATAAAACTGAGATATAAAACTCCTACATAAACAAACATGACAACAAATAATCTTTCAAGTTTGCATATGCCACATGTATTAGACTTTGTCTAGTGTAACAAAACCAATCAAATGAATGATATATATTTCAGTTGGTGAGATTATTGCAAAGTTAATTTTCAATGAGGCATATCTTTTGATTAATTGTTAAGTCATCAAGGCAATTTTTCTAAAAGAGATAGAAGCTTTTTGTATGTGTGAGGCAGTGACAGGGTCGTCTAGTGACTCTAGTTAGGATAAATATGGTTTCAACAATTTCAAAGTATTGAAGCCTAACAGATGAAATCATAATAAAACTATATTATGCTATAGTAAAGCTTGAATCCCACATTGAATAATTAATACTATTATAATATCTTTATATTTTAGTGAGGCATCCCATTGATTGGCCAAGTTCAAGAGTTTCAAATTTAAATGAATTTGTATCGTGAAACTATTGAATATGGCCTTTTGTATCAACAATATGTTTGCATTATAAAGTTGACGGGTTTAATGATGATGCAAATCTTGGTACAAGTATGAGATTAAAGGAAAAACTACAGAAAAATCTAATATAAGAACAAATGGTGCCCTATAAAATGTGCTAGTTTAACACTTGAAAAAAATTGGCCTTTTGATTTTCACTCAGTTTTATTTTTACAAACAATTCATTTTTTTTAACAAAATTGTATTTAAATATACGATTTATCTATAAATCATTTTTTGTCAAATTATTTTTAAAGTTACTCAAAAATATTATGTTTTAGTTTTATTTAATTACGATATTTCAATTATCTATAAACTATTATTTTGATTTTACTTTATTTACAAAACTAATCTTATATATTAAAGTATTATTTTGATTTTACTTTATATTTGGAGCCAAAACTAAGGGTATTTTTGTAATCTTATCCATTATTTATTTTATTATTATTTGATTTATTTACTTTGTAATTTTATCCATTATTCATTTATTTATTGCTTTTTTTATTTAATTATTTTATTTTATATTAACACTTATATTTTTCGTAACCACTCCACTCTTTCTAAACCTCTCAACGTTTTCTTTTGTGAAAATTTTCAGATATCTTAACTCCACTAACATCAACTTTTCAATTTATTTATTAGTTGTTTTTTATTAGTCTTACAACTTGGTTTTTATTTTATTTTATTATATTTAATCATTTTATTATATTTATTTATTTTTCAATTTAAATTTTATATGTAACTCCTTTACAAAAAGTGTCACTACAAGTAGTGCGGTTCAACATCATCTCAGTATATATGAATACTTCCCATTAATTTATATTGAAGAACACTTCAATCGTTTGCATTTATATTTCTCTTTGATAAGCTTTCAGTTTTATTCTACTAAAAGATTCTTAATAGCGAAAAATTTCATATGTAATTTGTGTTTATTGCTCCTTTATCGTATGAGTGACTATTCAACTACACTTTACTTATGGTGCATTATATTTCT